TCGAGAAAGCTCTTCTTGTACATCGATCTGAAGACTCGAAACTCCAATTTCTCTGAGACGAAACGCGATCTTCTCCCCGATCCTTAAAGCCATTTTGGAGTCCCAAAAGTTGTGAGAGCGCGGGAAGCGGTTGAGCTTGGCCCTGTACTGGGCGGCAAACTCTTGTTCGGTGGAAGAAGCCATGGCTATGATAGAGTGGGTGTTAAGGTTTGTGACTTGAGCCGTGATTTTTCTACAGGAAACAACTAAACGGAGCATGTGGGCATTTCGTGTCGCTGCTAGAGTTGCCATTTGCGGTGGCATAGACCGCCGACGGGCGAAGCAGTTTATAATTTGAGGGATGTAGAGTTAATTTCACCAATCATCCCTCGAGTTCGTAAGAAAATCTCAAATTAATCATTAGACTAATTTTCTCACTAAATTCATCACTCGCGCTAATTCATCGCCAAACTCGATTGATGCTTCTAAATTCTAATACAATGGTGGTTGGAGAAAAAGCCCAGATTCATCTATCGTCTAATAGACTAATACTCTAACCTAATTCTCAATCTCAATCTTTACACGTGACAAATCACAATAAAAGATAAAATTTGAGTTTTCCAAAGGAATTTTTGCCCATATTTTATCTAAGTAATGCAAATAATTATCAATTAAGTCTACAGTGACATATAACAACAATATATTAAATTATAGGGAAAATTGTAGCCGCGATCCCAAACATTTTCCTTTTTTTAAGACTTTACCTCAACCTTCACTTTGTGCCACCACATGTCCCAAACCTTTGAGAAATTCGTAGATACGGTCCAAAATGATGGAAAACATTAGTTCCATCGTCGTTGACCTCAAAAATAGAAAAAAATGCAATTTTTTACCAATTATAACAGGGCATTTTCGTCCATTCCTATTTCAAATCCATTTGCCGAATTAGAACTATCATTTTGACAAGCGCTTGCAAGCATGTTGTTGTAAACTTGTCGTCACCAGTGCGCACCGTGTCATTACTATACAAAGAAGGAACAAAGAACTTCTTGTCACCAAAATACTTTACATTTGAAACCTTGTGGAGCCTCTCGACGTCCTCCACATTCAATTCACGAAAATACTCATCGGTCTTAACCCAAATGTTACCTCCATGCGGCCTCCTCGAGAACAACGACTTCTTCTCCGAACCTGAATGAGACTTCTTTTACCTTTTTCGGCTATTCGAGTGTCTGTTTAAGAAATGAGACACCCCACTGGGAAGAGTATTAGCACCCGAGATAGAAGCTAAAGGAGCCTGAGAGACCTCGGAATCAAAGGGAGAGTGGAATGAGAGAACTTTAAGAATTAAGAGCTTGAGAGTAGAAATTTGACTCAATTATGGGGGACGGGTGTAGTTTCCTAATTTTCTTAGGACTCTTAGGGCTTTTTGATAAAATCTGGTACCTAATTAGGGCAATTTTTACTATCTTGCTTTTTCTATTCGGTGGTGGCTTAGGCACCCCTACAACTGGCCATGGTTTTCCTTCACCCTTGACATCTACCGCCACCATTAGTCATCTCCTCCACCACCCAATTTCATCACCACCGACCCTGCAACATTCCATTCCCTACAAACCCTAACCTAATCTTATGAAAGCAAATCAAAATCAAACCCACAGATTCAATTGCTCCTCTCCATAAGACCTGAAAAATGAGGGAAATGAATAATAATTAGCACAGTGAAAAAGGAACTAGGAATGGACGAAAATGTTCCTCTTTAAATTGGTCAAAATTTGTCTTCTTTCCATTTTGAGGAAAACTGAACTAACGTTTTCCGTCATTTTGGACTGTATCTGCGAATTTCTCAAAGGTTTAGGACCCATGATGGCACAAAGTGAATATTGAGGTAAAGTCTGCAAAAAAATAAACAAATTTGGGACCGTGTATGTAATTTTCCCTAAATTATATGCTAGTTTTTAATAGAAAGACTATTTTAGAAAAGATTATTCAATCATAACGTTCTCATCATTTGTTTTTATTGTGCAAATCGTCATTATCATTACAATTTTGACATTTGAACCCTTAGATCAACATTTTTTTAGTGTAAAAGGTCCTTAACGTCTATTTTTTCTATTAAAACATTCTAAAGTGACTAATTTATATCGTCTTTAAAAATAAATAAGCACACATAAATAAACAAGTAAGAAAGAAAGAAATAAAAAAAAAATTTATATATATTTATTTATAATGAAATCGTTGTAGCTAGAGTTTTGGAGCCCCTTTGATCCCTATTTTATTGTATGAATGCATTTTAAAATAATAGATCGTTATAAAATGTGTAGTTAAAAAATACGAAAAAAATTTAAATTTGCATGTAATATTATTTTATTGAAAAATGTGTGGTTGAAAAGAAAAGAGAGAAAAAATTATTTTGAAAATAATGAAAATCAAATAAGGGCATGAACTTTCTATAAAGTATAAACGATCTTGTATAAAATAATATAAAGCACAATTAACCTCACCTATGTAGATTATTCTAAAAAGTGTGATTAGACACCGTCTAGGTGCGAAGCGTGGACAAAATGCCTCGTTTAGAGCCTAGGAAGGTCTTTTTTTCTTTTTAGCACTTAGGTGCACTTTTTTTAATTATAGTATTTTATATTTTTAGACATTTGGTAGGTATTATTTTGATTATTAAATAAATTTTAAACTAATTAAAAATTAAAAATAATATTAAAATAAGAAAAACCTTTTTTCTACGCTTAGTTCTCGCCTAACTCGAATTTTGATTTCCACGCCTAATCACGTCTTACGTTTTTTAGAGCACTACCAGCCTTACTCCTACCATCCACCACCGTCACCACCAACAATAAAATAATTAAAAGGAGAATGAAAGTGTACTAAAAAAAAAAGTAAGAAAAAAAAATTAAAAATAGAAAAATTATTTTAAAAAATGATTCTTATTTCCCATCCAATTTTAACACCCTCTTGCCGATCACCACCCCCACCACTCATTCTCCTCATTTCATCATGGCAATGGCATCATCAAATGATTTAGCTATTTCGTGTTTCAATATCTTTTTGTTTTTAACAAAATTACAAGAATATTTAGGGATTTAGCCATTTTCAGCAATTTTTTAATTTCTATCTTCTCGTTATTGAACACACACATACCAACTTTTGAATTTTACTTGATTTTGTTCAAATTTTTATTGTCTAACAAAATGATGTTTGAAAATGAGATTTCTTTTATCATTAGAGGGTTCATTTGAGATTTTAATTCAAACCTCAATCCTATATGTTTTAATTCAAACTCAGTGAACATGAATTTTTTATTTTTAAAATATATTTAAAATTATTTTCAGTAGGACTTGTTTACACAATTAAAAAAAGATAGGACTTTAACTCCAATTATTTTATTTTTTATATTGTTTCTTTCTTTTCTATTTGTTTATTTAAAGAGGAATGTAAATTAGTCATTCTACAATGATTTAATAGAGAAAATAGATGGCAATGACCTTTTGTTCAAAGAAAGATCACTATAAGGGTCAAAATGCTAAAATTGAAACGATATGGACAATTTAAATGATGAAGGCAAAAGATATGGACCTTTTGCACCAATTACAATTTTAGAAATTACTATATACTTCACTAACAAATAAAATAAACAAATAATTTGTAATTACAAATTACGAAGTTGCAATCATATGTAAAATTAAGCATATTATGCGCCTATTTGAGTCCTGTTTTTGCTCAAAATGTATTTTGAAATAGTATTTCGAATGAGAATATGTGTTAAAAAATAATTTTTTTAATTGCATGTAATATTATTTTATTAAAAAATATGTAATTGAAAATATGAGAGAAATATATTTTAAAAATAACGAGGACCAAACAAGGGCTATATAAATTATATCCACTTTTTTATCAATATATTTCGTGGAATCCTTAAATATTAATCACTTATTCGTCACTCGTATCTATATATTAATATATTAAACCATTTTAAAACTCTTGCCAAATACATGGTAACTTGTCTATAGTCTAGTCGCTAGTATATCTTTGTGAATGAATTATAAAATCATAAATTTTATTGAGGTAGTTTATGACTATAAATATCAAATATTTGATCATGTTTCATACTATGCTTTGCTTATTCATGAGTAATGTCTTATGCAAATTTTGGTTGCTCCTCATTAATAAGATAGATGCTAAGTGTACACATTCTCCTCACAATAGAGGAGTCTGCGCTTTTTTATTGGACGCGTGCCCCTATTGTGAGGAGCAGTACACCAAGGTGTACACTTTGATTTACAAATAGCAAAATTTCATTAATATAGATCAATGGAGAATAAGAATTTATGATAGTAAGCAATTTCTTGGATTGGATTTAATTGGTAATACTCAATAACCAGATTGATGATGCAACTCGAATAACAAGTGAATAGGGCCGAGGGAACCCACCCAAGATAATGATGGCCTCCTTCCCCAAGCATGACTATATGAGTGTTTGGTGGGGATTGAAATTAGATTTTTAGTAAATTGTGATAGAATTATTTGAAATGTGTGGTTGAAAAGTTGTAAGACTTATGAAATATGTGATTAATATTGATTGTTTGACTTTAACTTGGATTAAAAAATCAAATTTTAATCCTAAACAAACAGGCTCTATATATGGTCAAAATTTGGGAGTTCTCGATGAGTTTTTTTAAAAAAATATTATCATTATATCTTGAACCGAAACTCCAACAAATATCAACAAAAAAAAAAAAAATGATTGTGATGGTCAAATAAAAAATATTTTATTTAAAAATTAAAATATTTAAAATGTAGATTATTTATGTAATTTTACATATAACCATAATAATAAATGGAAAATGGGGTGAACTAAAACAAATAAGTGGCAATATAATTGGTCTCGCTGGAACCTTACGGGGCAAAGTGAAAATTATCTTTCGCCCTCCCGAGATATTCACTACTCCTTTATTCCCCTTCCGGCAAATTCCGAACTGCACTAATTCTGGCTACAGAGCAGAAAAATGGCTCCCAAGTTTTCGAATTTCATGCAGTTTTACGGTAAAGTAATTTTCTTTTAATTCGGTTTTGTATTAGTGCCTGTTACATGTTTAAATGGTTAATTAATTAATTTGACAATGGTTGTTATAAAAAGGCTATGATCTGTTATTGGGATCAATCGCTGCCTTCTACGTTTTCATGGCGCCTTATACGAAAGTTGAAGAAAGCTTCAATATTCAGGTACAAAATCAACCTAAGCAAATGTTTTTGGAATTGAATAACTGTTTTCTTGAAAAGTTATTATAGAAACTAATTTCTGGGTTATGACAAGGACTGAGAAAGCTGAATAAAACTGAATTTTCTGTCTTTTGTTTAGGCAATGCATGATATTTTATATCATCGGCATCATATAGAGAAGGTAATCACTACTTTTCTGTTAAGCCTTTGTGCATTTTTATATCTTCTGTGGGTTAATACTTTTTGTCCTTAATTTTTTGGGATTTTTTTATTTAGTTTTCTTTATTTTCTTTTTTCTGGGCCATATCAGTACGATCATTTGGAATTTCCAGGAGTGGTTCCTCGCACATTTATGGGTATGTTACGTGTTGTTACTTTGTCCTATCCTAACTGTGCTTTAATCCAGATTTGATATAGTCAAAGGGATTTATTTCAGCTGGTTGCAAATTTACATTAATCTAGGATAGAAAAACTCATTGTTGCCCGATTTAGAGGCTTCAAGTCTTTTGCTGAGACTGGGCCGTAGAACATAAATGCGCCTTAACATTTGATCCGTACTCCCTAGGTTACTGGTGTAGAGTCCAATGGAAAATCATTTGATTGGTTGTACTGTGCTCATAGAATAGAAAGGTTTAACTGTTTAGAAGAAGCTGTGTCTATTTAATATTTTATCCACTTGTAGTGAGGCAGTTATGCTTAAATGATCTATATTACCTTTGCACTCCCGGACTATTGGATGTTTGTTGCACATTGATGGGGTTAATTGATATAATTCAAAGGTGTTCCCCAGCTGTTGACTTAAGTTGGCTAATTCAAGTCCTTGGCCATGAGAGCTTCCCAGCAATTGCTAGTGCTATGTATTAATTTTGACGATGAATACAACTATGGTAAAAAAGCTCTAACAAAGTTAAACAGCTCAATATTTAAATTTAAGACCTTATGCTTATCTGTTTTCTTTATGGAATTCTTATGTGGTTACAGTCATCTCTGTTTTCATCCGTTTGATTAGGTTAGTTTTAGTCCCAGTTATGGGTCTTCCTGTGGATCATCTGTCATGCGATTAATCTAAGAGTATTCCAATGTGAGATGTTATCATGGTAGGATGTTCAAGTGTATCAAAGGGTGGGTCAGTGTTGTGCTTCCTTCTAAAGACAAAATAGGTTTCAACAAAGAAGACAGTCATCTTTCCGGATAGCATACACTAACTCTGTTGCATGATATGCTTTGAGTAACAGAAAAATGTTTCCAGCTATCAAAATAGTTTGGCTTGAACTGGCGATTTCAATTTTTATTATATAAAGTTTGGGTTGGATTAAGGCATTGATTTTGGTATTTAGTTGGCATTTACATTTAGTTCTACGATGAAGCAAAAGCAAAAACCTATAGCACCTTTGGCCAATTTAAGATATTTGAATCTGTTTCAGATTAAAATTCTTGGTTGGGTGCAAAGAGGTTGTGTTCAGGGTTTAGGGGTCAAGGATTCAGTTAAGAGCAAAACTGAAGATCAGGATAGCTAGTTTTATGATGTGCAACAAAAATGAGTGAATTAACTGCTGAAGAAGGCTCTCTAGCTGTTTCTTGTGTCGGGGAAAGAAAAACAGGGTATAGAAACAACAAGTTAAGCATTATTTCACATAAATTAGGTGAAGCAAAGAAATACCTGTCTAACTGTCACTTGGCCAGTGAGATAAAGAACAGGACCATCATAACTATTGTGAAGACTCTGTTTGGTCCGAGAGTGTAAGGCTCTCAATTTTATTCTCTCTTATTAAACTCACATCTGCAAACTAAGACTCTTCCCTGTCATCACCTTTTTTACATTCTTATTCAGGTCAATCAAGACTTTTTTGTTTCTTCTTTTTGAGAGGAGCTTCAAAGAAACTTCTTCAGACACTAGGTTAAAGGAAAGCCTTTGCCTATAATGATCATATCGGCAATATTTATAATTAACATTATCCATCTCATTGTAATTGTTAATAAGTGTGACATCAATATTGGGACCCATAACTTGTGGCCTATCTGCGGTTTCTCTTTTTCTCTTGCATGAACACTAGGTTTTTATTCCTCATCTGGATCTGTAACCTCTGAATCTGCTTTGCAATTGTGGGTTCCTCTTACACTAGGTCTTGTTTAACCAATCAATTCATTACTTTTATCTTGAAATTACCGCTTCTTTATCCAAATGTTTTATGTTGCCTGTATTATCTAATTTTAAATTCATAATTTCAAATTCGTACAAGGAGAAGATATTAAATCATAAAGCAATAGTATAATAATGTTTTTGCTATGTATCAAAAGTAGGGTAAAGTTAACAAGTTATAGATGCTCCTCATGTACGTACCTTTCTTGTAGGTGCCTTGCCTGTATCGGTTTTGGCATTCCCATTTGCACTGGTAACAACTTTACTACAGTTGCCAAAGATTTACAGTCTTTATGCAGGTAACTTCACTGTTTGCCCAGCATACTTGTGTGTTCGATATTCTTTTATTTCTGTTATTATTGGGTGTCAAAATTTTATCTTATATGCATTTAATACTGTTTCCCTTTTCTGTTTGCGTGCATATGGTTGCATGTGCTGTATATATCTTTATGTCCATCCAATTCTTGTTGATTTATAGTCCAGTGTTGTAATTAATTTGTGAGATCAATTGGAAAAAAATCATTGTCACATAGCTGCACATTTTCACAGCGAGACCTGCATGTCAACTTGGTTATGCAATGAAGGACTTTTTGGTGAAGAATGATGAACTTTAAGCAGTGGAGGTTGTTTGTTAAAGAATTTAGTTTAAGCAATGACACCTCTTTGGTAATGTATGTAATCATGATAAAAATGGGTTAGAAAAGCATGAATTTAATGCTTATGGTAAGAAATCTTGCATCTCTAAATAGTTATAGAAACAGGGCCATATGAAAAAGAATTGCTGAAGTGATAGCACCATTTAACGAGACATGCCTCATCTTAATGAGGAAAGAAACAGAAACTTTAGTTTTTCAACTGAGAACTGATTGATGTGGGTAAATTGGATAATTCGAACTGACGTAAAGCTACTAGTTGATCATGTTGTCATAGAGAGATGGGAGTATGCTATATAATGTAGTATTCGATATTTATTTCAATTTTGAGGTGAATGGACTAATTTTATTCTTAAATGTATCTCTGAAATCTATATTCTTCCTCTGCTTAAGTTATTGTTACTGGATAAACTTGAAAAGAACGGTAGATGGAAAAAAAGGTGATATATGTTTTAATTTCCCTATTTTGTCAAATTGTTTGGTCCCAAAATTGAACTTTTCAATCCATAAGATATATAATTTGTCCCTTCTTTGAATGGTAGATTTCTTTGCCTTTTTTTATTGTTCTTCGAAAATACTCAATATATTTCCTTGTGTAGTTTATACGTGACACATTGCATAATGCCTATCCATTCCTGATCTTTCTATATCTGTTGTATTCACTTACAATTTGTTAATGTACTCAATTGACATTTTTAATGTGTTTTGGTTAGTTCGTTTGGTGTTGGGTTGCATCATCTTGTCTACATTCCGTTTTTTCCGCATTCAGGTATAAACTTGCACTTTTTTTTTTGGTTATTACCTTTTGTCTCTTTTTACTTCCTACCCTTCTGCGAAAGTACCCGTGAATCATTCATTAATGACGTGAAAATATTCTTGTGATCCCTAAAGTAGGTTTTACTTCTCTGATGGAAGCAGTTTTATTGGCTGGATGTTGTAAATTCTCTCTTTCTTTTCTGTTCTTTATATACATTGTTCTGTCTTTGAATTACAGATGCATTTTACACCTGAGATCTTCTACCATTGCAAGTTGGTACTATCTACATTTTTAGTGGACAACCTTGATATGCTACATTGACATTCAATCTTGTAGGACTGTTTATGAAAGACATGTAGAAGCGAAAATATAATGCTGACTTACTTATGGGAAAGATGCCATGTATGCTTGCAAGCCCATTCTTCTCCGCAAGATCATTTCTTCTTTTTATCCTCTCGTTGAGTAAACTTCCAGCTCACCACTTTCTCTCTCTATACTCTTTCTCCCTCCCTCGGTTAAGTGCCAAATTTGGTGTCATGGATTTGAAGGAAGGGGGAGAAAGGACCTCATCTCTGGATTTAGAAGTTGATACTTTATGGTTGGATCCTTGACCATTGAACCAACCCTTTGAGGTTCACCCGTCTAAATTAACCACATTTAGCTCTGTATAAGAGTAAATCTATCAACTAAAATAAAAAGTTGGAGATGAAGAAGTAAATATAAAAGCTTGAACTTTCTGGACTTTGTAGGCTTAAAGTGTGATAGAATTGATTAGGAGGCTTGCATGGCTTCAATGACGAGTTGAAGCCCCCCAAAAGAGTTGCATTTTGTTTATCGGGTTACAACTTGAGAGCACTGCTACTGGACTGTTATTTATGCCTAGTGGTCCCAGAATCATGAGTTTCCAGGTCAAGAACTGCAGTCTTCACGTGTACTTGATGATATTTGTGCTATAGCTTATAAGAATCCTGGTAAAAATCTAGTGTGTGCCTCAATATTAATTCGAATATCTGATGATCTACTCTTGTTGAAGGATTGTATACATCTGCCTGCACAATTGTGTAAAGGACCTTTAGGCATTTTCGTGATGATTGATGGGTTGATTTTAGAGAAATTTATCCATCACTCAGATCATATTATGGTGCTGTGCTATGTTTTATGGGTTTTGCATTCATCTTCTTTCAGGAAGCTGAACTCCAGTCTCCAGATAAAAAAAAAGGGTGAAAAGTAGCTGATGCAACAGTTTTTTTTTTTTGAATACATATATGATGACTTTTTTCTTCCACTGTCTATCTTTTTCTTATTCTTCTACTCCTTTTTCTTTTACTTTCGAACTTTCTTAATCTTCAGATTATGACATCATTGCTTATTCTGTCTGCATTTTCCTTTTGTTGGCATTCCAATTCATAGTTAATGATATAAGTTACTCTTCCTTTGAGAAGATTAGGAAGAAGTTTGGGTCTCAAGTTGAAGCCTTCTTCGTAATATTGACTGCGATTCAATTTCACATGCTGTTCTACTGTACGCGGCCACTTCCTAACATACTGGCATTTGGCTTAGGTAATACTAGTTACACCAGGTTTACATTTAATATTGATACCTTTTTATTTGATAAATGGATTCTTGCATTTTATTGGACGTAAGAGTAATAGAGTTTAACAGCCTGATAATGTGCTGTTGAAAAAAAGAAAAAGAAAAAGGAGCTGAATTGACAATCTTGAATTGCTAGAGGAGAGGGTAATGTGCCTAGAAAAAAATAATTCAGTTATGCGTCTCCCTGTGTTCTTTAGGGAAGGTATATAGTAACCACTAAGTTTCCAAAAGATGGTGAGAGATTGTGAAAAAAGCCACTCTTCCATCGTACACCATATTTATCTGTATTCACACCTAAACCACATGGTGCCCCCAATACAAGTAGCATGCCTGACTTTTTCTCATTACCAGCTTGAATTAGCAAAATAATTTTCTTTTTTATCCTTTTCTTGAACACATAATTTTTGATAGGGAATAAAATTTAACTTCAAGGGATCTATTTCAGTTAGGAAAATTTGGGATGAAAAACTCACGATAGATGGAGGAACAATGATGGTGCCATCAGTGAGAAAGCCTATTAAATGTTAAGAATCTGCAAACTGTTGCGTCAGTTTGCAAATGTTTTGTGTAAGATGATGGATTCAGTATAGTTATTATAACTTTTTAATCTGGGCTCTGTTAATATTACTTTACTGTAAATGTCTCTCTGGTTGATCCAGTGTTCAAAATGGATTCTTGTATGTGGACATGTGGCCCATTTCATGTCCCTTTCTTCCCCCCTAAATATCAGTTGCTCCTCTCTGATTTCTCAATTTTTTTTTAAATTATAAAGAACTTAGATATTGCTTGTTCTTTTTGTTAACAGACTTGAACTGTAGATAATACATTATATGTTCATCATGTTTCCTTTATTTCTCCTTTTTGCAGTTAACTTGGCATATGGGTTCTGGTTTAACGGAAGCTTTTATGCAGCATTAAAATGTTTGGTATGTTTTCATTTGCGGTTAAAGTTTTTATCATATCTGTTACATATTTGAAAAGTGCCTTGCAATTTCTGTATTGAACTATTGTTTTTAAATTTGTATTTCCTGCAAATTTTGTATCTTATTCACCTTCATAATGGAGCGGGGACCTACTTTATCAGTGACCACCATTGCTTAAATGGAATGTCATGTTCTCTGACATTATCTTTTGATTGAGTGCACTTTTCAACCTACCCTACTCTGTCCAAACTTTATGTCAACCAAAATCTGCAGCTGATCTCTTTGGATCAACAAACTTATCTATTTGACATGTATAGGTTCATGGCTATACTAGCTTTTTGAAGGTTAACTATCCACCACTATTCTGTTAGCTCAATAATTGGGTAGTGATATTGAGGACGCAAAGAGAAATGAGGAAAAAACTGCACAACTATTAAGTTTTGTTTGTGAAGTACTTCTGTTTAACACTTTATTCCTTTTGTTCTGTCAATGCACCTTATATAATTGAGAAACTTTAAAGATAAAATAGGCACTGAGAGAATAATGATCTTCTCACATGCTAGAAAAATCTAAGAATGCTCATCATTTCCTACTCACTAAAGGTTTTTTCTGTTTTCTAATGGTTAGATTTTCGCAACAGTCATCTTCAGATGTGACATCCTGTTACTTATTTCTCCTCTGGGTCTGGAGCTATTGCTGGTATGCTCTACAGCCACCAATTAAATGGGCAGAAACGTACTTTTCATCATGCTATTATTATTTTGTCGTTCCTGTTATCAGCTGTCACAGTCTCGAGTAGTCTAGCTCCTTTGAAGCAACAGAATTTAATGGGTTTATATTCTGTTTGCATCCTTAATATATTGTCGCCCTTAGATATCCGAGTTCTTTGTTTTTAATTTCACGCATCTCGTACCTAAATGAATTGTAATATATCTTCTTTATTAGCTGCATTATTTTGCAGCAGTGTGGAAAGAATGAAGCAAATTCTTAAAAAATAGATTTCCTCATATCTGTAATGGTGAAGAAAACTTTAGGTTCCCCATGAAACTGGGAAAGATTATTAGTTGGCATCATGTCAAGACAGTACGGTGTTCGTGAGTGGCTTGTTCACGAGTAAATGTTATTTCTTCCCCAGTGTTCTTCTGTTAGCATTTTCCTGTAGTCTGATATTCTATTTGTTATTGTGAACTGTGCCCGTTATGAATGTTTGTTTTAATTAACTGCAGTCTAGGTCAATTTCCTTTTGGAAGGCACTAAAGTCCTGTATTATAACTGCTTTACTTTGCGTAGGTTTGTGATCTAAACTATGCTATAACTACACGTAATGTATTGTGTATTTATTAATGATATCATTTTGTTAAATTATGTCATGTATTTTAATTTTGCATTGTAGGCCTTACCATGATCGTGGATTCTGTTATGTGGAGGAAGCTGTTGTGGCCTGAACTGGAAGTTTTTTGGTTCAACTCGGTTTTGAATCGGAGTTCCGAATGGGGTGTATCCTTCAGCAAATCTTTTCTTTGTAGCATATCTTGTGGTAAATTGCTGGCGGGCTATTAGACAAAGAAGCATAGGGCTTATGATGCCATGTATGACCATGATGTAAATAGAAACCGCACTATCCCTTGCAATTTGGACCAGACAACATTAAGTATGATCCTAGAAATGGATGTCTGATAAATCTTAGACTGACAAAATGTATGCAACTTCATTACTTCTAATATTGGGGTTCGTAGATCTCCTGAAGGCTTGGCAATCAAGTATGGTCTTCCTGTATATAATCAACTCCCATGTGGTGGTTATATTCACAAGGAACAAACATGGAATTAGTGTTGGAACATTGGAGTCTCCTTGCTAGTGAGTTCCGGGTCTTGCCTGCCCAAAATGGGAGTTAGACTGTAGTTTGATGGCTTGGGGGAAGAAACGGTTACTTGTGAGGAAAGGATATGTAATGCCTGGAGCCATGGTGCCCATGGGTGCGTAGTAGCATAAGAGCCCACACCTATGCTCTTAGATCATGCTGGAGATCAGCAATCCAAAAATGAATCATGTGCTTGCACTTTAGGCTCTAAAACCTAGACTCATAAACTGGTCGTGTTTCCTACAACAAACCAATGTGGGATACTCACACTTGGGGGTATCACAATCTCCCTCTTTATATCAATTATCACATGACTTCCTTGTTTGCTCTAAACATGCTCTAAACAGTTCACGTGATTATGCTGGTGGCCCTTGCTTGACTGAGCCTGCCTTTAGGCAGTACCTAACTTGCTATACTATACAAAGGCACCTCTGGCTGTACGGTTACCGTGTGCATTTTGTTATGCCTAGCACTTAGTTCCTGCACTTCTGGTTGTTACCCACTTTAACATCATCATTATCTCCCTGAATGAATGCCCTCTGGATGAGAGGTAGCCTTGGGGCCCATACAAATGCACCTAGAATTAGATGGGAGTTTTTATGCCTAAAAGTGGTTCCATTGGCGCTTAAACTCATAAGTCCACGCTTACTAGCTGGTCATATGTCCTGCAAGAAATTGATCTCTGACACTCACACCTGACTGACCTGATTATGAGAATTTTGAAATCTCATGAGGTTATGTGGGTGCAATCTAATCATCACTAATGCACACTGATCCCATAAAAACTCCAAATTCAAAGAAAACTCGGGAATGGGCTTCACAAACAACTATTTAATTATCCCTCACTTTGCCAAAATGGTTATAAAAATATGTTATGGAAGTTCTCCAGTAACTGTTGTGGGATGTCCCAGGTAATGAGGAACCAGCATGAATCTCCTCTATGTTCACAAAAAAAAAATCCTTGTTTCCTTTGTTTTGGCTCCAGCTGCTTCTGAGTGTGCTACTTTTGTCCTTTCTTAAAAGATCTGTTATTATTATTCATTAAGCCTATGTTTGGGAAGTGTTTATAAACTGTTTATACACTCAAAACCACTTTTTATCTACACATTTCGAGAGACCCACAAGTAGTACCCACTTATCCACATCTCATTTCTATCTATTTGTAATTTGAACTCTTTATAAAAACTTCACAAACATGCTTTTGAGTTTTTTGTTTGAATTTTCTTCGTTCTTCCTTGATATCTTTTCTCCAGTCACATCCTTTTCATTGGTACTTCACATCAGCACTTCCTCGTTCTTTGCTGGCTGCATATCCACTTTTTATGGTGAGTTTAGGACTTCATTGGAAAGATTGTCTGTCACGCTACTTTGCCCACTGTAAAATGTTACTTCCAGTTACACATTATTGCTTGTGATGTATTTTATTTTTTGTAGCTTGACATTTCTCTTGTGAGAATGCTAATTTTTCTGAATTTATATATTAGAAAGGATGCATCTTAAGTGTGCCTTTTGGAATTGTAGTAAAGCTGTTGTAAACTTCGTGTTTGATTGTCTGCGCACATAGAATTATTTTCTATTTTAGATGGCTGGCAAATATGGGGACGTGAACTTGCATATTTTCAGTCTCTGAACCAATGTTTTCAAAAGCACTCAAGGTTTATACCCTGAGGGTGTACCTCATGAGCATCGTTCATTAGGAGCCTCAAATATTATGCTTTGAACATCTTTTTTAACCTTGACTTGTTGAGGTACACACCTCAAGGCATAAGCCTCAGACAGTCTTGCTTTTTCTTTGCTGCTCTTTTAATGGCCTCTCTTCTTTTTCCAGTTTTTTTCATTCTTTGGCTTATATTTTCTTTTAAATTCAATGCGAGCAAATTCTCACGTAGATTGTATATTTTTTCATTCGTATTGGACTTTAGTTTTAGCTGTGGAATAGTTCTCTTATTATGTGATTATTACTTTGTCAATTCATTACTTTCTACTTCGTGATCCATTTTATGTTTCTAGTAGCAAACTGAGCCTTTAGTTTTGTTAAGATGTTCCATTATGGACCTTTTATTTGGCTAATGTTTGTTCATTCCTTTAGACTCTAGTTTAGTTTTGGATTAGCAGTAGTTGTGAAAATGACATGGTACCTTTAATTGCTACTTTACACTACTTCAGTTCTTTTTCCTCCACTAATTACATGGGAACGCCGACACTCGTGACTAGAAATGAAACTAATGGATCCTAAATATAGGGACTTCATTTATGAAATGCCTAAATTTGCTGGATTTTAGTTCTGCTGAATTTGACGTGGCATATTCTTTTGCAGCTAGGGATTCTACTTGACAGAAGGGTTCTGGTCTACATCTTTCCAGTTTTATCATTTATTTTACTTTATTCAAAGCTTCCACACAAGGTATTGTCTTAAGAATCTAGAGTTAGTGATTTCATTTCATGTCAACTTTTAGTATACATTTTAGTTCTGAAAATTTTCTCTACTGCAGGAACTTCGTTTTATTATTGGTTCTCTTCCTATCTTCAATTTATCAGCTGCAATTGCTGCAAGCAGAATGTATGCAACTTCTTCTTAATCGATGTTTGACATAAATATCTCTATGTTATTCCGAATGTGTTTATTTTTATTTGATGCTATTATTCCCTTCGAGAATTGATAGTTATTCTCTTAGAATGTTGGAATTGATCAGTGGATATAGGAAACATTATTTTACAGTACCTGATATTGACACACAGTGGTTTTGTGATATCTTATTGTGGAAACTAGAGCTAGATTATTTGCCTCCTACATTATATAAGCTCATGATCTTTGTTAGTGACTGCCTACTACATGTGGGATTATTCGGATAGTCCATGTCTACAACTGAATGTGATGGAGATTTTGAAGATTGTTGTTTCTATTGTTATATCCTTAGCTAAGAGTTGAGGGTACCAAATTCCATACAAAGGAGCCTATTACTAGTTGTGAGGAACAGATGTAGAAAAAGATTCATATTCCTCAAAAGTTTATTAGAAATGTGGTAATGAATGCTTCAAGTTTTTGTAATAATTTGTTATTAGTTATCACATTTTTCTGGGTAGATTAATTCTATATTTATAATGAATTCAAAGCAATTAAATATGCTGTAGTCAATGCAGCAATTTTTCCTTGGTTGAAATTGACAATGTTTTAAAAAATATTAGTCCTGTCTATGATTCTAGCGTTTGCGTTTTGTTTAGATAATGTTAAAATATGCTTTTCTTCCTCTTTTATTTTAAAGCCCCACGGCAAGTTTCTTCCGTGTTTGCTATGGCCACTGACATCTTGTGATGTCATGGTTATAACTTTCTCCAGCTACAACAATCGCAAGAAAAGTTTCTGGAAATATCTTAATATTGCCATGCTGGGGTCATTCCTTATCAGGTGAATGAATTCATTTTTTGTTTTGATTGTTTAATCACTTTACTCATTTATTCATACTTCACATTATGTAGTCTAGGGTGCACGATCTTGATGTTCATGGCATCGTATGAGAACTATCCTAGTGGTTATGCCCTAACGGCTTTGCATAATGTAGGTGAGCTATCTCTTCCACCTCTCACTTGCACACACATGCCACTCTCCGTACTCATTTTACATTTGTTTGAAGTCTTTAAATTGTACAATGCTTTGATTGAGGGATAAATCCTGAAAATCCAATGGAAAACACAAGTGAAACAAAACTTTGACTAGAAAGCCTTATCCGTCGTTCCTATTAAGTTAGGAAATGGCCTTTTAAATAAGTGGTCTTTTTTCATTTCACCCTTAAAATAAGGCCACTTAAAAAAATGCCTTCAAAAATTCACTGAGTTCATTTCTCTAATAATTTTTATGGACATATTGTATTTTTATGGCTCTGCCTTATAACAATAACCTACTCTTGCTACCATGCTTTGAATTTCTAGATGAACTATTTACCCTCCCAACCCAAAGTTCATACCATATTAAGATTTACATATTTGTACTATCATAATATAATCAGGTGTGGTGTTGATCGGGTACCATTTTGCTTCTTTTGTTCATTATTTTGTGTGCCATTACAAGTTATTAAGTTCCCTCCCTCTCTCCCTCTCCCTCTCCCTCCCCCTCTCTCTTTTAGACACAGACACAGACAGAGGATCGAGAATGTCATTTTTAGTGCTTCAGTGCTAATGATTAGATATATGAATATCACACGCTCCTTAATTGCAATTTTCTGTGTGGACTTGATATGACTTTTGCAGGGCATTTGAGAAATAATTCAAACGAATTGTGGGTTCATATTGACACCTTCTCGGCAATCAATGGAATCTCTCGCTTCTGTGAAAATTATGATCCATGGAGGTATCCTTGATAGTGAATCAATATTTTTTGGCTTAACATATCTAGTTAGTCTTAGTCAAGCTACACAAATTTGAAACTGGGTTCTGCTGAAGTAGAAAGTGTTGGATAGATTTTGAAGATTTTATTAGAGCAATTACATTTTCTCATTTAGCCCCTGTTTGAGCCACATTAAAATTTTCATTTTCATTTTCATTCTTCTACTCCTTTTCAACCACACATTCTTCAATAAAATAATATTTTTCATCACATCAATAACTTTTCATTCTTTTTCAACCACACATTGCAGGTGCTAGAACATGTAATAACCATACTAAGTAGCTCTATACAAGTTATTGATAGAATTATATGTGAATTTTCTTACTTAGGCCCTGTTTGGTACACATTATTTTTTTCATTTTCATTCTTCTACTCCTTTTCAACCACACATTCTTCAATAAAATAATATTTTTCATCACATCAATAACTTTTCATTCTTTTTCAACCACACATTCTCCATCAATATATTATTCCAAAATAGATTCTTCCAAAATAATGTGGTCAAACACACCCTTAGGGTACTAACATTTTGTCATTTCTTTATCTAGAATTTCTGTTAGGCTTATATACACTTCTCTTTTGTTGATGAAATGGAGATACTGAAAATAATGGAGATTTTTCTCTGGTTCACTTTTCATTAGAATTCTTATTCTTATATTTTGTATTGTCCTGCATCCTTTTGCCAAGTACCCCTTGACATTAGAAAATTTTTCATTCTTCCTCTGCCATCACACATGTTCAACACTTTCCTTAGGTCATGATTTAATTATTGTGCTGTATAGGTATTCCAAAGAAGAAGGGATTCCTCTGGGAGAATTTCAAAATCGGAATTTCACATACCTTTTGAGGTGATTGTCTCTCATTTTATAGACTCTTTTTTAACGTTTTTACAGAGTATGTCGAGCAAAAAGTTTGGCTTTTTGGGAACCGTGGATGATCCTGCCATCTCAACAATGTTTAAAACTGGTTGATTTCATACATCTGTCTCGTCTGCTTCATAATTCAACTGGTTTTTTCGATAAATTTTGAAGACGTGGGATGCAATTGAACCAAATAGTAGAATTATAAGAGAAGGGGAAAGGGCAAAAAAGGAACCAATTAGTAGAATTATAAGAGAAGGGGAAAAGGGAAAAAAAAGGAGGAGATACGAGGGAGATAGAAAGAGAAGAAGAATTAGAATGATGGGAAGAGAATTTAGGAGAGAGGAAGTATCTTTATTTCATATATCAAAGTTGTGAGAATTAAGTGCATAAACCCCTTTATATAGGGTTTTTCATAAAACCTATTCTAAAAAAAAAAAAATTTATTTCAAAATTTTGGAATTTTATATTTTAGACAATTATATGTTTATTTCCTAATCATGGTTTCTACCTTAATTAGGTTATGTTCAGCCCTATTTAAAGAGAGTTGTCTCTCTTACAATTGGACTATTGATATTGAATACAAACTGATTTCCTCTGTGTCTCATCTCTTTCCTATCTCTCTCCTCTTTCTTTTCCTACGCTCTTCTATTCTCCTCTCTTCTACCTCTTCTAAAAGTATACAGTTTGTTTATGCGCCTCCAGTTTCACTAGCTGGCTAATCAATGCCTTTGCGTCGTCATAATAAATGTGGAATCCATTTTTTCATCTTTCTTTTATTGATTGTATCTTACTCTGAATTTTTATTCTCTCGTATATTGATCACCCATTTTCTGCATTTAAATTTCTACCCTTTTTTTCATTTTGTAGCGAATATTCTGATATCAGTGGATACAAGTGTCTATTTAGTACGAAGGGGTTCTCCAGGGCTCATCTTCATGCTGGATTTCCTCCAATATCACTGGTATGGAGAAGGTCAATCTCGTCCTCTGTGAATGCTACTAGAATAACATACTTATAGTTCTGTATACACTACAGGTTAAGGAGCCGAAGGTATATATCCATGGAAATGTTAAAAATAAAGAAATAATCCACAGAAGCTGGCCGGATTGCTAATTACCATGTGAAGAAATCTATATCTTATCTAAAGTTGTGGTCTTATTGAAACTACATGTTGCTGGACTCATGGGGGCATAAACCAATGGAATTCTTCTATCTTTGAGATTGATTATCCTTCAGACCTTTACAAGAGCAATATCTTCCTACATATGCCACTCTGAATATAGCTCGAGAACTCTACAGAAATCGTGCACATTTGAATTATAGCATTCTGTACCTTCTGAAACAATAGAAAATCATTACAAGAGCAATATCTTCCTACATTTGACACTCTGAATATAGCTCGAGAACTCTACAGAAATCGTGCACATTTGAATTTTAGCATTCTGTACCTTCAGAAACATTAGAAAATCATGCTCTGCTTGTAACACAAGGCTTTGAGTTGAGAATGCACCTAAACTGGGGGACACACGATAGTCAGGTCAATTTGGCCAATATACGATCTTAGCAAGTGAGGTTACTGATAGACAAATTCCTGTTCTATAGTTGTATCACCATGTACTATCTATATTCTCCACAGGTGTAATTTTGTTGTGGTGGTACATTTTGTTCTCTTCCTCCAATTAACGTGTGCTTTTAGGAGTATATAGCAATATATATTGAAGAAAAAGAAGACCTTCAAAGCATGACCTAATCTGTTAAATAGCCATTTCGTGTTCAAGGCAAGCCCTCCTTTAAGTACAAATGAAAAATATATGGTTTAAAACTTGAAGAACTAGATGAAAAAATATTTTTACTGATAGATTATTGGGTTTCTTGTAGGGCTGTCCGTGGGTCAGTTCGGTTCGGTTCGGTTCTGAATTACAAGAGCAATATCTTCCTACATTGGACACTCTGAATATAGCTCGAGAACTCTACAGAAACCGTGCACATTTGAATTTTAGCATTCTGTACCTTCAGAAACATTAGAAAATCATGCTCTGCTTGTAACACAAGGCTTTGAGTTGAGAATGCACCTAAACTGGGGGACACACGATAGTCAGGTCACTTTGGCCAATATACGATCTTAGCAAGTGAGGTTACTGATAGACAAATTCCTGTTCTATAGTTGTAACACCATGTACTATCTATATTCTCCACAGGTGTAATTTTGTTTTGGTGGTACATTTTGTTCTCTTCCTCCTCCAATTAACGTGTGCTTTTAGGAGTATATAGCAATATTTATTGAAGAAAAAGAAGACCTTCAAAGCATGACCTAATCTATTAAATAGCCATTTCGTGTTCAAGGCAAGCCCTCCTTTAAGTACAAATGAAAAATATATGGTTTAAAACTTGATGAACTAGATGAAAAAATATTTTTACTGATAGATTATTGGGTTTCTTGCAAATTATGTAACAGTAACAATTTTAATTATCTGGAAAACTATATTTCATGTTATTTCTGTATGGTTAAGAAATAACTTTTGGACAGTATTGTCCTGTTAGGCATATTGATGTAAACGTGTTACTTTTCTTCCTTCTTAATTGTCTGCACTTGCTTGTTAAATTGCTGACTTAATTTTTGCAGTCTCTTCCGGGTAAGCAAAGGTGGGTAAAGTCTAACATTGACTTGACTAATTGCACTTGAAAGTTGTATAAATTCATTCACTATCAATCCTTTCATACACCACACCTTTCAACTGAGAAATGGCTAGTTATGGCACCACCACACACAGGCCAGCCACCACTTCTCCTTCTACTTCTCCTTCTCTCACCATCTCCCCGGATGATGAATCCGACGAATTGACTAAAAAATATCTTAACAGATTCAAATCCGCATGGCCTTTTAATATCCCTTCTACCCCAGAATCAGCTGCAGTTAGAATCATCAAGAACTTGGAGAAATTCAGTTTGTACTATTCAATATTTGTGTGGACTGTCCTCTTCATTACCCTTATCCCAAAGCGCAAGGTTTCGTTGATTCTTTTGGTAGCCATGACAGAAGTGACCTTCTTATACTTTCTGTTACTGCGTGCTTTGCCCAATTCTGTCGTTCTTCATAAGATCATCGACAAGCGAGTTGTGCTGTCTCTGCTGTTTATGATCACATCCGTTGAGCTGATCTTTACTCGTGCTTTCGTTCATCTGTTCGTGACTCTTTCTGCAACTATACCTGTTGTTATACTTCATGCAGTGTTTAGCAAAAGAGATGATGTGTATGTAATTGAGGAGGGGAGCGGAGCTGGGGAGTTGGTTCCACTTGTGGAAGAAAGAGTCAGTGATGCTGAACCTGTGAATTTGGTGTGAAGATGTGGTCGTTGACGTCCTTTTTTCCTTTCTTTTTATTTTCCTGAATAAAGGATCATTTTGATTTATCCAGTCTCAATTATTATATTTTATGGCAATTTCTATGGATGATATATAGTGTGTGTTTGTTTCCCATTATTGTAGATGAAATTGATTAATGAATAGTATTTTTTGGAGAATGTATGGTTGAAATTTAAAGTAATTTTATAGGTAATTTTGAAAGAGAGCCACTGGTCAGTTTTCAAGACTTCAAAATGGCAAACATGCTTATGAGATTTCACGTGCGAAAGGGTAAAGAAATTAATTGAGTATCAAAAACTATTTTTTCACATCACCTAGTAGAAAAATTGGGAGCTTCAATTCTTTTAATGAAATGGCAGTTGGGTCCTCAGCCTTTTGAAAAGTGCAATGAGGTCTCCAACCTTCAAATTTTTGTAGTGCCATCCCAAACCTTTGGAAAATTATGTAGCTGAATCACCTTTGGACCGTATCCATCCAAATGGCCGTTGGTTGTGAGCCGTGACATGTATACGAATCTATATTTTCATTAGGGCAAAGAGTACTTGAATATAATAATTAAAACAAAAAAGACAAAAAAAAAAAAAAATTAAAAAGAGAAAATTCTTCATCTTCCACCCACCGCCACCCCTAAAACCTTGCTAGGAATTGCTGTGAAGCCAACACTCCCCCCATCTCCATCGTGAAAATCTTAGGGAGATGTTTCGTGTAAGCCCCAGGGAATTTGAGCTGTGCAGTTGTGGTTGGACGGTCTCTGCATTTCTACACAAATCTCGTAATTAAAATTCACTAGTTCTTGCTTCTAATATTCTCGCTTACATAAGAAATAATGCACAAATCTCATAATTAAGATTCACTAGTTCTTGCTTCTAATGTTCTTGCTTACGGAAATAATATCTTTTATATTTGAATGGACAGATAAAGATGAAGTACAACATATTTTTTAGAATCATGCTATATGTATATTATGAGTTACATTAAAGTTTACACTATTTATTTTAACCACAACCATCACATTATTGTTCAAATTTTTTTCATATAGGGAGAGTGTCAAATACATTGTCAACCAACAATGTACATATAGCTTTATTCTATTTTTTATAAGGAAATGCTACATGTACAACACATGAATTATAACATTGGGTTACAATCTCTCACAAGGGAGGTGGGCCCTGCATTAAAATAATAGTGGGCCCCATCTCCATTGTGAGAGGTTGGAACCCAATGTTGTAACCCAATATTGTTCAAGGATCATTATTTTTTTTTATAAGGGGCAAAGTGAAACTTTTCTATTGGCATGGGCCTTGGGTGAATAACTGATAACTTTCGGACTTTTTTGGAAAGTAATAAAAGAATCGTAAACACTCATCTCCAAGAATCAAAATATCTCGTCTTTTTCCATTCCAATTTCACAGTCCGAAAAATTCGCTTGCACTCGCTCATCGAGAACCATACAATACAATCTACAACAATGTTACTCCAACCCACAACCTCAAAACCCCCTCTTCACCTTCGCAGCCACCAAAATCATGTCTATTCAAACTCTTTCCCATCTGGGTTTCTTCAGAATTCAACTTTTCCTCTTAAACAAGCTATTGTTTTCACTACTAAAACTGATAAATATCCAGTCTTTATTACATGTTCTTCAATATCCCACGTCCACAACTATGGAACGGCTGACTATGAGAAGAGGCCTGTGTTGAATTGGAATGCTATATACAAGAGAATATCTATGATGGAGAACCCACAGATGGGTTCTGCTTCTGTGTTGAACCAGGTGGAAAATGAGGGTAAATATCTTACCAAATGGGAGCTTTGTCGAGTGGTCAAGGAGCTCAGGAAGTTCAGGCGTTACATATATGCTCTTGAGGTAAAAAAAAAACTATATGGAAAATCTATCAGAGTGTCAGTCCGAGTGTTATTATTGATATGGCGGCTCTTGTTGTGAAGGAAAAAAGAACCCATAAAAGTCATCTTTAGTAGTAACGTATGGTTTTTGGGCTAATAAAAAACAACACAATTAAGTTTGAATGTTCTTGAGGTAAAGGGCAAAAAAGAACCCATTGAAGATGAAGTCTTCTATAGTAGTTCGATAATTTATGTTTTGGTGGTGTTTAATATATTTTTCCGGCTACTCTATTTAGTTACTGAATTCTTTTCTTGGGTTATGAATTTATCTCTTTCTTCTAGTGGTTGGTGCAATCTTGCTATAGTAGAAAATGCTTATTTTTGAATGATAAATTTGGAACTTTTTTTAGTTTGATCGTGTTGACTCTTATGTCAGTATCATGGCTTTCTATTTTAAGCTCTGAGGGTATTTAAGAATCTTAGATTGTTTGTGAGCATCATCTCGAGTTCAGAGTGAAAAAGATTTGTTATCCTGATTCATGACCTTGGCTCATGTGGTAGTCTTTGACCGAAGGGAATTTAGTATGAAGTATATTGCGATGTAGGACTTAAAGGCTCAGCATTTTTTGTTCTGATTATCATATTTGTTCTTAAGGGCAACAACATGTTATTTAGGCTGTTAAAATTTGATGGACGTCTTCTTTGTTGTCTTCAAGTAGGAATATCAGTGTTCTAAAAAGCGTAAAGTGTGGACGTCAAGTTTTAAGCTTTGTGAACTTAGGTGAGCTTAGGCGAGCTTCGGCGTAAAAACCGTTACTTTTTATTATTTTAAATGCTTAATCATTCTAAAAATCATTTAATAATTAAGATAATACATACAAACCATTTAAAATTATAAAATACTA